TTCTGTGGTGTATGTGTGTCTTTAAGTCATACTAATAATCAGGGAAAATGTTTCTCATTTTTCTTTGGAGTGAGGACTCACTAGAGTTTTGCTGTGAGTCGCTATGCTTTGGGGCAATAGCTGACAGCCACCTCTTGGATCAGTGGCCCAGGGATGTCCGTGGTGCTGCTCATCACAGTGTTTAGCTTTCTAGCAAAACTTTGGCATTCAATTTCTTAGGTAGTGTTTGTATTTTCTCTCACATTTTTGCCATAAAATAATAACTGTTATAGAGCGTCTTTGTAGTCACCTGCAACTTGCAGTGGATAAATGTTCTAGTTTCCTAGAAGTTAATAAATACGCATAAGAATCTTTTATCCTCTGAGGACTTTGCACATGAGTCAAGCCCATTTACACCATACGTAAATCCCAGGAAACCCCCTCCCCGTGTTCTGAGCAAGCTTTCAGATGTGGCGCATGCGTCAGGAGGGCCTCGCGCTGTGCTCTCCTGCTGTCTGGCGCAGAGCATTGACATACCTGTTGTCTGTCTCCACAGTCAAACCAACCGTAATCGATGTCGACATTTACGTCAACAGCATTGGTCCCGTGTCATCGATCAACATGGTAAGAAGCTGCTTTGTTTTCTACTCTGCTGGCTGTTGCGCTCCCTGCTCACGGTCTTGCTGTGGGTTTCAGCTTGAGGCTCAGCCTGCGGTTTGAAGCCCACCGTTCGCTCCTTACCCCTGAGCTCTTGCTGGCACTCTCAGCAGTAGTGAAGCGGTGTTAGAAATGCAGAGGTAGAGTTTGCGGCGGCGCTGGGAGAGATGCCTGTGCTGTTGAGAGCCGCCTGACCCCGCCTTCTCCTCACCGGTGTTTTCAGCATTTAGATTTTCAGACGGGATTACGCGCAGTGGCAGTCTTTGACTTTCCCTGCCTTGTTACTGGGAATGAGAGTCAGTGGCAGTTTGTTACATTTAGTTGCTGTTTTTCAAAATCCAAGAAATCTGCTTTCTTAGGGAAGGATTCAAGGTATCCCCGCTTCTACTCTTGTTTTCTGTTTGAGCTTTAAGGATAACTGCACTGGAACATCTAATTTCAGGAGAAATATAGGATCCATGATGTGCTTTTCATGGCTTAAAAGAGTTTAAGCACAAGAGCTGCTCCAGTGGGGAAGACCTTGCTCCCGCGGCAGGTGCTTTGCTCCCAAGCTGGGCTGGCGTCTTGGGATGCTGCAGAACAGGAGCCTCTGGGCCCATGCTGCAGGCCCTGCGGCGTCTCTCCACGCGGAGTACTGGATTGTCGGGATTCCCCAGCAAGGGGGTCATGAGTGCTGCTCCTACACCAGAGCCTTCCCTGCCCTCACTGTGCACTTCACGTGGGAACTTGGGAGGTGTGAGAACAAGTGGGGAATTGCCAGAAAACCTAACTAGTGTGCACTCTTTTCAATGTTGTGTGGATGGAAATATCCTCTCCGAAATTACCAGCAAAATCTGTTCTTTTCACTGCCAGCTTTAAAAATGTTCTTTTCTTCTCTTTTGATATGAGACTTCCAAGGAACTGCAAAAGATGTTTAGGGGATGAGTCCCTTAAAAACAATTGTCTCAAGGGTGGGGTGTCTTACCACTGGTAGAGCGCATACTTGGCATGTGCAAGTCTGTAGTTTGAGTGGCCGCAAAGGCAGCAGCAACAGGGCACCCACAGTCTTCACGCCATTCACACTCCAGGATACCACGGTAAAACAAATACAAGAGAGTAACTGGATACAACCTGTAGGCAGCAGATGGCTTGTGTAAGAGTCAGTCTTTTTCCTTTACAAGTAATTATTCAGTTGAATGCACAGAACGTAACTGTTTCTTAATGCATTTGGTTGTTTATTTTGGAGTTTCATTTAGGTACATCTGTTCTATAATGTTTTCTGAAGCACTTTTATGTCTGACACTAAGAGAAACATATCTGTGTAGATACATAGTTGCAGGATTATTTGAGCAAATGCTTCTTGCATTTGTACATCTAGGGCTTTTCTTGGACTCCTGAAGCATTCAGATCTTCTCTGTGATCAGCAGGAAGCTTAGCTGCTCTGCCGCCTGCTCACTGGATGCTGGGAAATTCTAGCGGAGGCCACGGGAGGCAGTGGGGTGCTGAGGAAGAGGCGGCCATCCCCGGTGATGCGGAC